ACAGTCACCTACTGCTCCCTAATCCCTTATATAACATTTTCCTGGAATTAAAGCTAGAATTTGAAAGAATATCTATTATCCATGATAGATTTATACCCACTGTTTTGAAAGGCAGCCTGCTCCCTTCAGATGAAGAATGCCAGACTCTGCACTGCCTCACCGCTGGCTTAATGCGGGAAATACTCTTGTTTTTCTAGAGGCTTGCAAATGATTTCTTTGTATGAGTTCAAATTTCCAGTTGATGTGACAAGTCCTCTGCAGCCTCTCTTCCTAGTGGAATGCTCATTATAGAGAGGGTCCCATTTACTAGGCCAAATACCTGTTGACAAGTTAATTTCCAACTACCAGTGCCCCTAGTTGGGAACTTCAATAGAGCAACTAAAATATTTTAAAATGTCATTTCAGAAAGTACAAGAAATGCCAGAAGCATTGAACACTCTGCTGCTCTTTATGGCCGTTTAGATGCAACAGTGTTTTGCTTAGGAAACTTGGTTGATCCAAGAATTGTGGCTATTTTGTATGTCTCCTTCCTCACCAATAGTGTCCTTCTTGTTTATTACAGGATTTCTTCAAGCAAGAATTAACTTTCATTAGCAAATTCATCGAAACTGTTCAAAATAAGCCTCTTTTCTAATTATTCCAAAAGAAGACGTCAGAGTCACAAATTTAAGATGATGGAGTAGTGTTGCAGTACAGGTACCCACGCCCCCTCACCCCCAAGGCGGGAGCCTACGGGGTCCTAGTGCATCCCCATCCCTGCTGAACGGATCCCTCTAACAAAGAACCACGAGACAGGAGCTCACTTTGATTTGGTAGCAGAGATATGATTCGTTTTGAGTAACTGACATTGGGTGACTGTTCTTGTGCAGGCTAGAGAATGAATGTTAAATAATGAAAGTGATCGTAATTGCCTCATGGAAGGACACTGCTGTGAACTCAGCCATAAACGTCATGCTGCAGCATATTAATAAGCGATAGTAACAGAAAATGTTGGAATTAGAACATGTGCAAGTAGTTATTATTAAATTGGATTCTCCCAGTGCTTAAGCAAGGCATTCATCTTAGGAAGCTACAGTAAGTCCTTTGGAACACTGTCAAAAAGCTGTGAGTCAAAAAACCAGAAACAAACACAGAAAACTTCTGTCTTTGCAGATAGTTATTAAAAATAGGAGCTGGTGATCAGATCTTCTCTTTGTAGTCTTGAGAATTTGATTGTTGTTCCAGCAAAATGTAACATCTTTTCACTAGTGATTTGAGAATTCTCTGTCACTAAGAAAACAAAGTCTAGTGTTACGAAGAAAAAAAGCAGAATATTCCCCTAAATAAAACTGAGTTTATTGGTTTGATGATTGAGGCCAAGAGTTAAAAACAAGGAGAGCTATAAACCCTCTGAATATAGGGTTCCTGGGGGAGGGCATAGCTCGGTGGTAGAGCACATGCTTAGCATGCACGAGGTCCTAGATTCAATCCCCAGTACCTCCACTGAAAAAATACATAAATAAACCTAATTAAACCCCCCGCAAAAATTAAAATAAATAAGTGAATGATTGTAGGGTTCAAATGGTGGAGAGAGCATGGTAGTAGTTCTTCTAAGGGTAAGAACAGAAGGATGGGGGTTAAAGAAAGCAAATGGGATCTGCCTCACAGGTACATTTGAGATGCCTTCACTCCATGCATGCAGTCAGAAACATAAGGAAAAAAAGGAAGTTAAAAGGAGGAGAGGTATATAAACCCCAGAGTTCCCAAACTCAGATCAGAAACAGACACACCTTTCTTCCCTCCATCCCTTCTTTCCTTCCTTCCTTTCTTCTTTTCCTAAACCAACTACTGATTAGCTTAAGAGCAATTAAAGACTTATTTCTTCATTTCTTCCTTTTCAGGGTAAACATGCCAAACCAGTTTAACACTCTCCCAAAATATTTCATCAGGTTGA